GTGGTCACAAATCTCTGTGGGAAGTAAGAGGAAGCTGACACTGAAACTAAGCAAACCGTAGCATTACGTCTGGCCATGGCACCTAATAAGGACCCATCACCACTATGCAACACCACTGTGCCTGACTTGTTTACTCTCTTTAACATTTGGTTTTTTAAAGCTCTTTGTATTTAGGAGGCTCTTTCTTAATCCCTGTCCATTACCTTCTTCTGTCCTTACTGAAAATCTTTACTGGGAGGAAGGGGACTAAAGAGGCTAAAGCTTCTACATGGCTTTATGCATTTGAGGTGTGGATACCCTTATACACAGGTCCCTAATGAGAGGCTGACATTTAGGAATTAAACTTAGTATCCTTTTATCAGTACCAGAACCCCCTCCCCCCCACACACATATACACACAAACCCTGCTACATCTAATTTCTTAGCTGTGTGGATCTTGGGTCTGTATAGCCGTTATATTTCTAACCTGTCAGTGTGAACAGTGTATCATTACTCTAACTCATAGAAATTAAATGTGAATGGATACTTTGTTAGTACCTTCTTTGTAATTCTTACACTGTGGTAAGGAATACAAGAGAAATAGAAGTCAGTGTTAAGGAGGCTATGTTCTACTGGGAGGAAAGGAAAATATAATTGAAAAGAGCTAAGATGCTACTTGGGGGATATTTTAGAACAGGCATTTCCATTTTTGTTTGCCACAACACAATTTAACCTTTTTGTTCATTCAATAAATGAAGCATGTTAAATTTTTCTTCTTAATTCTTATATGGTATATTGATGTCATATTAATACAGAGTAATAATAACTCTTCCTTAGAGAACAATTTGCATTTATTGGAATATAAAATATTATGTAAAGGAAAATACATTTTTACCCTTTACATTAATTAAGTCTCCCACATAACTTGCATTTTATTTTCACCTGAAATTATGTCAGTCTTTTCTATAATCTCGCTTTTTCCTATATAACTTGCTGCTTTTGTTGATGTGTGCCTTTCATAAAAGGTTTTGGAGCAAAAAGGCTCTGGGTGTTTTAATGTAGGGACAGCCTATGCCGTGGAAATGTCTCCCTAGAGGTGCTGTCTCTTCCCCACCTTCTTCTTTTGCCCCACTCTGAAGTTTTTTGTTTTGTATTTTTCTTTTTTCCACTTAAATTGCTTCCACTATATTGGATCTTTATTAGATCCTTCTTCTGCCTTCTTTACGTCTCCTCATCTTACTGTGTAACTTACAGCCACGTGATTGTGTTTAAATAAGATGAAGCAGCAGGAGGGTTGTAAGTCTTATCCCAGCTAGATGCTTCCATGTTTTCAGCGGGGAAAAAAGGAGGCTATAGAGTGGGAGAGAGGGTATATATATATTGCTAGGAAGAAATGTGAAGCTATCTGAGGCCACAGTGTGGCTAAGAGATGGCTACCTGACTGGATGAGCATGCTAGGTATTCTGGAACAGCCCATTTTACTACATGTCATTCCATTTGAAGTGGGAGCACTGTGATATCATCTCTGAAAAACTGTGCAGTTAAGTATTTAGAAGACATAGATGAAAGAAATGTAATTCCACTTTTTAAAAAGGTTCAATTATACAAACCCCAGACAGGTAGGTGTGATGTCTATTTAAGGCAAAAATCAACACATTGATTAATTGAAAAATGAATTTTGAGCTTTTAAAAAGCAAAGAATGTGATCACTAATGATGGCTCCATTAAGAATGCCATGCCTAATTAATCTGTTAAAATTGTTCATTTAGGGCTGGGGAGATAGCTCAGTGGCAGAGCACTTACCTTTCATGCTGAAGACCTTAGGTTCAATCCCCACCACCACAAAAAATAGAAAAATGATGGCTCGTTTAATGAATAAGATAAATGCTATTAGCCTAGCACATTTAGGTAAAAGTAGATCACATAACAGAGCCTTATGATACTTTGGGGAATAAGCTGAAAATATAGCTTACAATTTTTACCTCAAACTGCATACTAATATCATCTGTCTATTAAAATATATTCTGTACTTTTAAACTTTATTATGTAAATAATGTATATTTGTAGTAGAATATGTAGTAGTTAAGTAAAAATAATAATCAAACTAATAGGTTTTTGTATGTTAGCCACTACTAGTCTTTATTCCATAATTTATTTCACATATTTTTCTTTCATACTTAAATTTCATGAAACATACACTGAGCATATAATTTTCTAAAATAATATAATTTTGAAGATCTTTTTATTTTTAAATTTTTATTAGTACATTTGTAGTAATAATTACTGTTCATTATGGGGAGTTGGTATATATATGTAATGTGTCTTAATTCTTTGCTTTATATTTTGAGTTTTTCATATAAGTCATCCGATATTTAAGTTTGTATATCAGGTTTATTTCACTTAATGTTATGGTCTCAGGGTGCATCCACTTTCCTACAAATTACTCAAATTTCTCCCTCTTTGACAGAGTAGTACTCCACTGGGTATAAATACCACATTTGCAGTTGAATATCCTAATAGCAAATATTCCTTAATTATTAAATTCCCAGAGGTGAAGTTATTAGCTAAAAAAAGTCAATGTGCATTATCAAACTGGAAAAACCTGTTTCTTAAATCCCGATAGTGAGCTATATCAATTTTAGAAGTATTTTTGATTGTTTTTGATAATTTCTTTTATATTTGCCTGCTTTCACTCTTCTTTTGCTCACATCCTTTATTTAATTTTCTATTTGGGATATTTCATTTCCTTTTAAATTTTAAGAGTTTAATATATTCCAGGAAATGAAAGAGATCTATTTTTGATCCTGATTTTCAGTTTAGTATTTGTTATGAATCACTTAGATGAAAGATTTGATAGCATAGTGTTTATACGTAGGTGACATTACACAGGGAGGTTTAGTTAATAAATTCCAGGGAGATCTGTGATTGAAATGATGAATCAAAATAAGATAAACCAGAATAAGGATTAATAAGCACTTGCAACTTGATTGAAAATAACTGTACAGTTCAGGATGATGACTACTCGTTACTAGACCTTTTTTATATGTTAACTACAATCATCACAGCCAATCTACAAAATGTGTATTACTGTTTTCGTTTATAAAAAGGAAATCTGACAATGAGAAGGCTACATTAACTTGTACAAGTTCAAGTAGTAGAGTCTGGATCCAAATACAAGTCCTTTGTCCCTGTTGGCCCTTAGTCTCTGTATGCCTTGGAGCAATACAGTTTAACAACATTTCAGAAGTAATGTCTGAAAAGGTCAGCTAGACAACACCGAGTGCCAGAACAACCAATCCATTTTCCTCTCCAGTGACTCAGGTAAGGCACATAATTACCCATTCTGTCCTGTTTTAGTTAGTTCAAACCTAGAATATTGCTTAAATTCTGGTAAATTCTGAATTATTACTGAGATGTAGCTCAGGGGTAGAGCATTTGCCTAACATGCATTAGGCTCTAAATTAATCCCCAGCACTTCAAAAAAGGGGAAGTCACTGTCAATAAGTAGCTAGAGTTGAATGTCTGCGGAAAGCGCTTTGGAAGCCAATGTCAGGTTGACCATGCCCAGCAATAATTTGATGACCACAAGACCCAGAAACTGGCATACAGGAATCCGTGAAGTAAGAACTCTAGATACTGGTATGGAGTTGTTACTGCGTAGGTTTACTGTTCACATTTTCTTTTAGTTATCTTTTTGATGTGATTATATACAATAGATTTTAATTACTGTAGTTGATTTTATTTACATTGTTGGCATTAAAATTGTGCTAGATCCAATAAAAGCAAATGATCATAACTGATAAAACAGGTGACTTTTTGCTAACAGCAAATGTACTTGATATCTTGTTTTTTAGTAAACCAATTTTGAGATGTAGGATGTAGACCTAAGCATAGCTACCTATGCCCACTTTCAAGTGAACTGAGTTTTTATGCACTGAGCTGACACAAATGGAAACTTTGGAAACAGACTGAGCATCTGCAGGATGCTGAGAGAACTGTTCAGCACCCATGGGATGTGATTTCCAGGGAGCACACACGACAGTGGTTCAATTTTAGATCTGTTCTTTTGTTTTTGTTTAAATACTGTTACACAGGATTTTTAAAACTTTTAACTTAATTTCATATGAATTATAAGTTGGTAGCGCTCTCTGCAGGCTGCTGAAAGCCAGTGAGTGGAGAAGGGGAATTTTGTCCCTTTCACAGCACATTTTACAAGGAATTGGCCACTACTTACACCATTTCTCTGTTTTAAATGGTATGTTTTTTTCAGGTTCCTACTTGACAACCTGAAAAAAGTGTTTTGGTGATGAGCTGTTATTAATACCTGATGGAAATCAGCCAGTCAGATTACTGTAAGAGAAAGAGGACTAAAAGAAAGTTCATAGATTGTTTTTCTTTTTCACAGGTTCTTTCATTATTGTGTGGAGGATTAAACCCAGGGCCTCACACATTCTAGACCAGACCTCTTTCCTCTGAGCCAAACCTCTAACCCTTCTATTACATTTTTTTTTTAATCTTGATAATTTGTGTTTGTTGGGGTTATCTGCCAACAGGAAAGAATAAATTTACATATTTATCTGGACTAAATTGATAATTATTTGTAGGGATGATTAAAAAATCTTTTAGGGGTACTAGCTGAACTTTACTTTTACTGCTTACTGGTTTTTAACCTGATGAGCTAAATAACTATTTGTGAATATTCTCACAGGCCACATTCAAGTCAGCGTTCTTGGCTACATGTATTTCATGTTATGACTTGTCAGAAGCTGATAATGCTTTAGTCATTTCACGTGTAATTTCACGTGTAATGTTCAAAAAGCAAGGGAAATTTTCATGATAAGTACTTTTAGAGTTTGAGTTAAAACTTGAATTAACTTTTTTACTATGGTGTATTTATTACAGAAAGATGCAAGAACCTTGTTGACCATTTCCTCTCATTCACACAGTAACAATACATCTGATATGTTATATCCTATTTACTCATGTGTTTATTTTACTTATTAATTTGTCTCTCCCTTTAGGTAAAGAGGATGAATATCCAAAGAAACCTTTGGGGCAGCTTCCACCTGAATTTCTTTCTGGTGGTATTAATCTCATGAGCAATGGACAAAGAAGTGTTGGCAGGCCCAGTCCCCATATAAACAGCAGAAGAGAAAGTGGTTCATCACCTCACAAAAGACATGAGCACTCGCCCCATCATCAGAGTAGAACTGGTACACCAGAGCGAGTGAGGCAGCTGAGACGGAAATCAGTGGATGAAGACAGTAAAAATCTTAAAGATGAAGAGAATTTTCAAAGAAAACTTTCATCAGGTCCACAAGACAGTTCAAAGCCCTATAATCATGCAGCTGCTAACCAAAACAGCAATGCTACTTCAAATATCAGGAAGGAATTTATGCCCAAATGGAATAAACCGTCAGATATGTCAGCTGTTGAAAGAACTGCCAGATATGTCATTGAAGGCAAAAGCAGATCAGTGCACCCCACACTGGCAGCCACCATTCCAAATTCTGCTGATGCTCGGATAGCCAATGCAAGGCACAAGATGAAGGTTTTGGATGGTGATGATGGGAAGCGGGGCTCTAATGCATCACAGTATGATAATGTCCCTGGGAATGAAAATGAAAATGGAGCTTCTGTTGAAGAGGCACTAGAGAGGGCTTATTCTCAAAGTCCAAGGAATGTCATTTACTCTAACAGCCCAAGAAAGCATGCTGAGCCAGGTTCTAGTCCACCAAAAGTATCCAGCAAGTTTACTGTTAAAGTACAGCCTCCAGGCTATGGAAAATACCCATCTCAGTTAGAAGGGGAAGACCAAGGGACCATCCACCCTCCATCCTACAGCAATCCCCCTGTTTACCATGGAAGTTCTCCAAAACATATCCCTACCCCTAACAGCTTTGTGTCTCCACAGATTAGTCCTGGCACTCAGATGAATCCTTCCAGGAGACCTTATGGTTCTACTCTTTCAGTTGATATTTCTCCAGAGAAATCTTACAGCCGCCCAACCCCTCTTGTACTACCATCTAGTCGAATAGAAGTCCTTCCTGTTGATATTGGTGCTGGGGGATACTCAGGCAATTCAGGGTCACCAAAGAATGGTAAATTCATCATTCCTCCGGTAGATTATTTGCCAGATAACAGAAAATGGTCAGAAGTTGGTTATACATCCAGATCGGAGATGCATGGACAATCATGGACTCGAGATACTAACCGTAGCCACTTAAGCAATTTACCAAAATATTCAGCCTTTCAACACATACCCTTTCAGGACCATAACCTGCCAGCAGTTTCAGTTGATAGCCCAGTGCGGTATAAAACTTCATCAGCTATGGAAGATGCCAGTCCAGCTGGGTATCAGTATGCAGGGCCTTCGCCGCCAGCATATCACTATAGAAATCGGGAAGGGTTCTCTGTTCAAGAGTCAGTATTGCTGTGAGAATTTATCCTTACTAAAGATGAGAGAACAGAAACCATATGAAATCTACATTGCTATATTTTAATTGCCAAAGCAGTATTTTATATTGTAAACAACTTGCACAATTCTAATGTATATCAGTAATGAGAATATATGGAAATATTTTCATCCCCATGCAGATGCTGCTTAAGATGAGCATTTTAAATTGCATCATCACTGGACCTCTTAAAATTTTAACCTGGAAACAGCAATAGCATTTAGGAATGCACATGATGATTCTTTACTCAGTATCATTTATTTTTTAAAACCTGGACATTTTTACTATGTTGGCCCATTCCATTTTGACTAATGTTTTAAAGCACTGAAAAACTGTCAAACAGATATTTTTAAGGCTCTGTGTAGTGTATGTCTTTTAATAGATAGTATAATCTATGCATACACATTTGAGCACAAAATTGAAATGTTTTTTAAAAAAAACTATTTTCAACCTAGATCCATGAAATAATGTTACTTTTCTTTTCCTTATCTTTCAGTCCAGTTTTTCCCCTTCATATTTTTAACCCAAAACCTAACCTGATTAAAAATTTGCTCTGACTTCATTAATACATCTCACAAAATGCTCATCATTCTCCTTCAGCTGCTGCCATTTTCTTTCAATCTGAAAATTAAAGACATTGGAGAGAAAAGCTAACCGCTCAACGGTGCTTAAAAATTGGGGCAGTTAAGCCAAAGGTGCAGCACTGACTGTGTCTGTACACCAGACCAGTCTTAGTGCCTCCATGCTTTTTGCTGTCTTCTGAGCAGCCAGGGAAAGCTGCAGCACAGCTCTAGGGATTCTGCAGGAAAAGCTCCAGCTGACTCATGCAGCACTTGCAGAGCAGGGCTGGTAGAGGGGTCATCTCTCACTCTGCCCTTTTTTCAGCACCCTCCTCCATGGGTCCAGGATAGTTGTTACATGACCTGTCTCTGACACTCTTTCTTTGAAAATGTAGTCAACTTGATATTGCTGCTCATACCAGGCCCTTACATTATTTATCCATGTTAAAATTGTTTTTTAAAAAAATTCCCTAATTGTTAATAGGAGTCTAGAACTTTGATCCTTTTTTAAAAACAGTGTGACTTTTATACTTTTAAAAACCTTTTTATTTTTCCTTTTTCAATGAAAAAAATCAGGTTTATGGTAAAACAAAACAAAACAAAAATCATTGATGTCTTTAAAAGTATTCTATTACACTACACTTACCAAACACTGAGAAAGTTTTGGGTACTCCACTAAAGTAGGACATTGTGTTGAAGTGGAGTGCTTGTTTTCAACATTATTTTGCTCACATTTACATAACAGAGAGTAGATGGTCCATGATTCCTCCTGTAGCAAGTTGGGGCTGTAAGCTTTTGAGGTACAAAAGTTTATGATAAAATGAAAATAACATTTGTTTAGTGAATGTGAGAGTATTTTTATGTATATAGTCTATAATTTTAGTCAACTTCTTAATGATGTTATTAATGGCAAAACAAATGCAGTGTATTAAAGCTAAACACTACACTGAAACCCAAAATGCTGATAAAATAACTGGCTCTTGATTTAGATCATGTGGAAGCTGAAAAATAAATGTACATTAAAATGTAGCAGATTATATAAAGTCCGATTTTTAAAATGTGTTTCTGTGACATGTAATAAACCAAGCTGTACAATTTAGTTTATAATAGCAGCATCTGAGCTGCTGCAAAATATATATCAACAGTGGTAAATACTGTAGATTTATATATATATATATACACACACAAAATATATATATACACACACATACTATTTTCTTATGTCATCTATGACATTTTTTACTTGTATGCTTTTTTGATGTGATTTTTTAACATGCTAAAAGTAACATTTTGTTTTGTCTTTTGTGTGAATTTGTTTTTAATATGGCGAAAGTGCTGTATCTCTGATACTTCTAAGGCTAATTGTCTTTTAATTGAGTAAATGTTGCCTGGTCTTCACCTATCGCGCTTTTATGTGTTACAATTCTATGTTGTATGTTCTATTAATTTGTAGTAAGACTGTATTTAGAACTGCATCATCTTTTCTTTATTTAATGACATTATTAATGGCAATAAGATTTTATTTTCATTTTAAAATGTACCTGTTAGTAGGAAAATTTAATTTGAAATTTTGCCACCATACAGTTTTCATCTTTCAGATTTATTTTTTAATAAAAGATAAGTAATGGTAAAAGGTGAAATAATATTGGCAAAGTGGGTCAAAATATATTTATGTAAAACATTTTGTAAGGATGATTTTACTCTGTAACTACATTCACAAAATGTATTTTTACATTGATTCAGTCTTTTCTTCCTGACAGTTTTGCCCAACATAATAAGTATTTTAGAATGGTTTTTATTTTTATGATTTACTTGAGAAGTTAAACCAGATCCAATTCTCAGAAGCTTTTAAAACTGACTGTTGTAGGTGTTTATTTTTTAAAAGTGTATTTAAAAATGAATAATTTCTTAAACCTGAGAGATACATATAAAATCAGGTCTGAGTTTCAGTAATAGGTTTCTTGAAAGAATGAAAAGAGAGTCAGTAGGACATTTCTGGGGAAGAAAAATAATTTTTTAAAGGTTGTAATTTTTTTTTCATTTTAAGACAGTTTGAACTTGTGCCATACTCATTATAATGGTAAAGTATACTTTCATAGTTGTAGTCGGCTAAGACTGATTTCCAGTGTAATATGGCACAAAAACAGTACCCATTCACAGTTTTCATAATTGGAGTGGCACATGCTATGTCTCCAAATGTGGATTTACTTCAGAGGACTTGCAGCTTCTTCTTCTGAAAATAAGATTATTTTACTGTTAGTTCTTACGCTCACACTTCTATTTTAGTGTGTACTTGATGTGCATTTGCATATCAGTGTTACTCTGATTAGAATTCTGGAAATTTTAAATTCTGTTTTAAATTGTCCTTAAAGATTTTAAATATCTAAATCTATTGTAGGTATTAGTGCTTATTGACCAACTAGAAGGGGTCAAACTTTAAAAATGACCCAAGATAGAATGAAAAAAACCAGTTAACCTTTTCATGCATTTTACATTTAGATTTTCACTTTTATCTGTAAATCTAGGTATAATTGCCACTACCTTATAGATAAGAAGGTAAAGAAAGGAACTTTTTAGATTTCTTAAGAGTGAATCTTGGGGCTAAGGATGTAGCTTAGTGAAACAATGTCTTCCTGGCAAGCGCGAGATCCTGAGTTTGATTCTCATTGGAAAAAAAAAAAAAAAACAAACATGAATCTTGCTTGCCATTCATTCCTTTTTCTGGTAAATTTTAAAATTATTTTCTGCTTGTGTCCCACTCCAGAACACTTAAATCATAATATCGGTGTGGAACTTAAGTATCAGATAATTATATTTTCCTCCACAACTTTAAAGTTTAATTTTAAATTCTTTGTTTGCACCCCTCCCCAGTATTATAGTCCCATTATAGGATACATCAAAAGTCCTTAACAGATCAAGATGCAGGATCTAGAAATTAATGTCAGGAAAACTGGGAAATTTTTCATTGGGAAGATTTAACATTACTAGCATCTATGTGCATTTCACATATTGTGAATGGAAGATAGCATGATACTATAATTTTAGTTTATTTGTTGCTTCCTATAGTCCTTCAAAGATAGGTGGAGGATTTATGAAGATTTCCATTTTCTGTATAACCTCGGCCTCTCAGTTTTGGAAGACTAAGACCTAAGACTGGACTTGAGTGTTCTGGTCCAGTCATTTTATTGAGCAACTACAGTGTACAAAGGAGTGTACTAGGTTCACACTTAGGTCATGAAACAAGTTTGTAATTTGTGTGTCTGGATTCAGTGTTGAAAGTACAAAGAGGCTTTACTATAGGCAAAGAAAGAGGGAAAGTGAACCCAACTCCAGGCTCTGGGAAGGCTTATGAGGGAGTTGCCTCAGGTGAGCCTAAGAGTATTTGCAGTCATGGACAAAAGGTTGGGAGAAAGTGGCATTTCTGTGGAGGGAGGCAGGGAGTGTCATGGAGGGCCTTAGGAAAGCTGATCCTGCAGGAGGACTTTGCCATGTGTGTGTTCCTATTTCTTCACGGTCCCCGAGGCTGTGGTGTAAGGGGAAGAGCTGGAGGTGGTTAAGCAGACAGAGGCCATGGTGACTGCAGAACTTGAAGCCAGGGAGGAAGTCATGAAGACGTGATTTGAGAACTAATTACTAAATGAAATTGGCCAGACATGACAATGAAAATAATCCGAATAATCTTAATTAGAAAAAGATGTGACACTTACTGCCTACTGAGGCATCCATTGCTGTGCTAAGTGTTTTACTTGCATCAACTCTAATCCTCACAATAACCCTGAAATCTATACACGTTGTTCCCAATTTTCTATTGAGAAAACTAAGGCCCAAAGTTTAACTTACTCCTAGTTAAGTAATAATGCCAGCAGAATCCAAGCAGAATTCCTAGCCTGTTTCTCCCACCTTTCCCCTGACCTGATTGAAGAAAGTACAATTTATCTGTCATAAAACTCACCCATTTTAAGTTTCTACTTAATATTTTTTATAATAGTACAGTCATCACAACTAATACCAAAACACTACCATCATCCCAGAATAGATCCTGTTCCGGTTTGCACCTGTACCCATACTCACTTTAAGCCTCAGGCAACTACTGATCCACTTTCTGTCCTGATTTGCCTTTTCTGGACACTACACAAATGGAACCAGACAATGCGTCTTTTGCATTTGGCTTCTCAGCAGTGCTTTTGCATGTATCACTAATTATTTTCCATTTTATTACTGTCTAGTATTCTGTTGTATGGCTACATCACATTGTGTTATCCATCTACCCGTTGATACGTAAATTGTTTTCACAAGCTATTGTGTACAGGTTTTTATGTGGATGTATGTTTAGCCTTTTAAGAAACTTCCTGACTTTTCCAAAGCAGCTATACCATTCCCCACTTTCTACCCAGAGTAGAGGAGGTGTCTGATTTGTCCACATCCTTGTTTATACTTGTGATTATCTGAGTTTTTAAAATTGTAGCCATCCTAGTGGATGTGAAGTGGACCTCATTGTGACTTCAGTTTGTATTTCTCTGATAACTAATAATGTTGAGCACCTTTGCATATGCTGAGGGCCAGTTGTATTTCCTCTTTGGTGAAATGTCTGTTTACATTTTGTTCTTTTTTTATTGAGTTTTTAAATTTTTATTATCAAATAGGAAGAGTTGTTAATATATTCTGGTTGCAAGTCCTTCACAAGAAATGATTTGCAAATAATTTTTCCTACCCGTGACTTGTCTATAATTTAATGGTGTCTTTTGAAGTGCAAATATTTTTAATTTTAATGAAGTCTAATATATTAGTTTTTCTTGTATAGGTTATCTTTTTAGTATTATATTTCTCTGTCTAACTTGAGATCACAAAGACTTTTTCCTGTTTTATTCTGGAAGTTTTATACTTTAGGTTTTAAATTTGGGACTGTGAGCCATTTTGAATTAATTTTTATATAAAGGGTGAAGTAAGGTTATAAATTCCAGAGGGTAGCCAATGATCTTGGCACAGTGGCTAAAAGTAAGACTTGTCCCTCATTGCACCTCTGTCCAAAGTCAGTTGAGCATATATATAGGAGTTTAAGTTTTAAAATCTGTTAAATGTACATTCTCCAACTCCATAATTTTTCATATATGCAAAGATAGAAATGCTTATTTTTCATACTTTACTCTTTTTTACTTTGCATTTCTATATAGAGTTTAGGATCTGCTAATCAGTTTCTGCCAAAAAGACGACTGGGATTTTTGTAGGGATTATTCTGAGTCTACAGGTTCAGGAAGATTGTCATATTAGCAATACTGAATCTTCAACCTATAAACATAGAATGACTCTTCATTCAGTTTCACCTTTAATTTCTCCCAGAAATGTTTTATATGGTATGTGGCTTCCACTTCTTTTGCTTAAAGTCAGTTATATTTTATTCACTTTTGAATGGAACCATTCTCTTCTGAATTTGTGTCCCTACATATTCTCCTGCTGAAGGTGAGAAAGGGTCAGGATTGGTTTTTTAATTCCTGAGCTGGGTGGAAGAGTGGATGATGGGGTTACCATATGATAAAAAGAACTCAGGAGAAGGAGCTTTGGTGGGAAAACAACTTCTGTTTTGACATGTAGAATTTGAGGGTTGGAGATTGACAGATGGTGTTGTCTGACAGGAAGTTGGCTGCTTCAGAGTGTTCTGGGGCTCGCCAGCATGAGAGGTATGCAGTCGTAAGAGTGTACCCACCCTGAGAAAAGGCAGGCGAGCAAAGGGAAGAGAGTTGTAGGTAGTAACATTTAGCAGAATTAATTTTAACAAAGAACAATGTTCCTTTGGATTTATCAGTTCAGTAAAGTAGGCCCGAGGCTGTCAGATCTAAAGGGTAGTCAGAGGGACTACTGAGTGTGACCTTTAGGCAAATTATATTCCTTTTCTGGGCCTGTTTTCCTCATCTCTAAAGTATGGGCATTTAAGAGGGAAGAGAGAAGGGGGAAACAGTTATGAACCAATTCCACCATATTTGAGTGCCCAGAGACTGGAGTCTGCCTTGAATATGGACTTTGCATCCGTAACTGGCCAAGGTTTAAGGTCCTGATAAAATGAGGGTGGGACAAAATAAGTTCTTGTTCTTATGGAGCTTATATGTGGATCCGCTTCCTCATCTATAAAATGGGTATTTTCATAGTTCTGAGGACTGAGTGAGTTAAACTGCTTGGCACAGTATCCTTTCATTAATAGTTTATCATATTTGTAATCATAGCACATTGTGCTAGATTCTAGTGACCAATGGGGACCTGGCCTTGTTTCCATAGACCCAAGAATATAGGGGAGCACAGAAGTACAGGCATTTGCAAACAATACATGAGAGAGAAAGCATGTTTGGCACAATTTATGAAGATGGTGGCAGGGCTGAAGAAGTAGTGCGTCAGAGATGGGGAGGATGGGTGGGTTTGTGTGGAAGACTGCTAGTTGGAAATCAGTTTGACTTCAAAATTCTCAAGTACCGCTACAATAAAACCCTTTGGTTTAATTCCAATTTGTTATTTTATGTACTTGTAAGTATTAAAACAATTATTAAACTTTCTGTAATTCAGATTTGGTTTATTTGGAGGAAAATCAACATAATCTGAATGTAAAAGGCAGTTTGGAGAAAACTGCACTGCTTATGTCATTGACTGTAATTAAACATGACTGCCATGAATAGAAGGAGATGTGATTTAGAAATAACAGCGTACAAAGATGAAAGGATTACCTTCTCCAGAAACTAAACATCAGTCAGCCATTTGTCTTAGTTACTTTCTCATCCTGGGACGCAATACACAACACGCATAACTTGAAGGAGAGATTTATTTCAGGTCATGTTTTTAATTCACAGTTCGCTGGCACCAAGGCAGGAAGGGCAGTGTGAAAAAGTCCGTTGGAGGAAAACTGCTCACTTCACGACAGCCAAGAGTCAGAGAGAGAAGAGGAGCCAGAAAGGGTGACACACCTTTCCAGGTCACACCTCCAGTGACACTCCTGACCAGGCCCTACCTCCAGCACTCTAGACCTAAACCATAACAGCATTGAAGAGAAAAGCTAAATCCACCCTGAATTAATAAGCTGTGTCACAAGTCTATGGTGTAAGTCTAGGCATATCACTGAGCCCCTCTAGGATCTGGTGTTTTTTTTGTTTTGTTTTGTTTTTTGTTTTTTTTAATCGGTACCGGGGATCGAACTCACGACTGCCTGCTTACAAGGCAGGTGTTTATGCCGCTGAGCTAAATCCCCAGCCCCCTGGATCTGGTTTTTTGATGTGCGCATACAAGGTGGAGGTGGAAAACAGTTTGAGCAAGATTCTGCTCCAAGAATTGAATCCAAAAATTGTCTCGTCTGTACTGGGTAAATGTCACAGGCTAGCAAAGCAACAGCCTAGATGGTGGCTGCCCTTGCGGAACAGTGTGCTGGGGAAGGCAGACGTGGGTCACGTGGCTATCTCCTACTGTGGTAAGGACCAAGAAGGAAGGGCACCCAGAGCCATGAGTGCCTTTAGCAATCATCCTAAGCCTTGGAGGACATTTTGGGGGTATGGGAGTAGAGCAGACCGGCTGGAAGCCAGGAGACATGAGGCAACTTTTACTTTACAACCTGAGAGCAAAGAAAGCTTCATAGCCCATGTTGACACGCAGGGCTGGAGTCAGACATGAATGCACCGCGAATAACAGCATTATCAGAGTTATCTTTGAAAAAGAACAGTGAGAGTGGCCCTACGAATTTGTCAGTTTGGTAAAATGGACTAGGAGCTATCAAATTTACACAATAGTCTGAGTTTGCCCCTCAGTGTGACCTTGGATGTGCACATTCTCTTTAGGCCTGACTTTCCTCAGCTATAAAATGTGGTCAGAAGAGAAGAGATGGCAGAGAATATTGCAGACGGTGGACCTCCACCATGTCTGCAAGTAAGAACTGATTGGAGAGCTTCCAAAAGTACTGCATTCTGGACCCATCCCAGACCAGTTAAATCAGGACTGTGCAGTATCAGGCCCAAGAATTAGGTTAGTTTTTGTTTTTTAAGTTGAACACTGATATGGTTCAACATTTCATGATTCAGTAATCTAATCCTTAAAACCCAAACTGTTCCTTGTAATGCAATTTATAGAAATATACTGCAAGAAATTTGAGCCTTGGGCTTTAAACCCTTGATGAGGAACCATAAATGACCAGCCTCTGTTAGCAAGCAAAATGCACTGGCCCCCTAGCAAAAGGAGGAAGATGGCTCTCTGCACGTTTCTTTTTTCTTCTAGCTCCTGTGTCTATTATCAGGAAACCACCTTAAAATCATATTAGAGGATTTTTTACTTTGAGGTTTTGTGTGGTGCAGTGGAAAGAACATGAGCTTGAAAACAAGCTTGGAGGCAAATCTGCTCTCCGCAAAGCTGGATGGACGAAATTTCATGAACGCAATGGAGAAACCACACCTCACCTGCCACTGTTCTGATCACCCTGGAGCTGAAGAGCTCCATGCAGCTTAAGGGTGGAGTGTACATGTTACTGGGGGCCATGTTCTTATTTAAAGATTTTTTTCTCTGTAGAATTGTACCCCCAAATGAAATATAGGCCAAGAAAAAAAAGTTGTGCAAATGAGCACAAAGTTATTAAACATGTTCTATATTCCTATTAGAGAAATGAAACTGAAACAATGATTGGAAAAGATCATTGGCAAAAAGAATACTGTTCACACGCTGATAGGGAGAGTAAAATTGCACTCCAAAAATTATCAGTTTTCCAGTGTGAGAATTTATATGTTCTTTGATCTAGCAATACCGTTTCTATGAACGGAAACACATGAGAATAGATATATCTAAAGGGATGTTTGTAATAGAGAAGAAATGCCCATCAGTAGATAATAGGTTTGGTATATCCTTACAGAATACATAGGTATCTGTGTTCCTGTGGTCCTTAGCTGACTTTCAGCTTCTGGCTTTGCCTCAGATCAGCCTGGAAGCGTGCTGGTGTCAAAGGTCATGAGTTGGTTGGGGAAGAGAGTTGCTAACCATGAGTGTGAGAACCATGGGCCCTCAGAAGGCTCATGCAAAATTCTATTTACAAAAGATTTTGAGAATTTTTAGGGCAAATCATGAAGAACATTTTGGAACCGATAACTGTGCATCTGAGACATGAGAGTGAGCCACATCGAAACAAGGCAGGGAGGGAAGTGTGAGGGGCAAAGGTCCCTAACAAGGCATGGGGGGGGGGGAGAGGGAAGCAGGACATAACCGCCCCCCTAGTAACTATAAACAAGCATCACAGTGCCTTTGGTGTTCAGTGAAGGCTGGTCCTTGGAGGGGCTCTTGGGCTGCTCTCCCTCACTACACACTCCTCCTCGCTACTGTTTGTCAGTCTGAGGAGGGGCCGCCCTGAAAGCAGGTGGTCCCTGGAGGTCAAGGACCAAGAGAATTCACATTCTGATTGTCTCAAGGCAGACATGGCCCAAGGATGAAAGCATGCTGCATTTTACTATTGAAGCTGAGGTCAGAACGATGCCCAGTGACCGAAAGTTTGAAAAGCAGCTACAGTAAAAATATTTTAAAGGCAAATGTCTCAGAAATATGAAGACCTTGACATATAAAAAAAGTCAGATCAGATGTCTCGTATTCTCTTCATGCTGAATAAATCCATGTTGGATTTAAAGGCTTCTTTTTAAAAGCATGTCTAGGAAGCCAGTCCTTTCATCCCCTGGCCACCCCTGATCAGAAACCACAGGAAGGTGTTTATTGACTCTGAACAGGTGGAGGAGATTTTTAAACCTGGATTGTCCTGTCTCTTGAAAATCATTGGATAGTCCATTAGTACAGATTTTATGGGTCACCAAAATATTCTCTGATTTAGCCACTGTTACAGTTTTCTGATTTATTTTGTCAATATTCATAAAAATAAAAATACATAATATTACATGCACAAAAAGAATATAAACCAAAATAAGACAGTCCTTTTAAATTGAGCATATATAGCTTTTAAAAAAAATACTTTATGTTGATTTTTATTTTTAAATCTCTTTGCAAACCAGGAGAAAACTGTTTGGGTGAGCCCTGGTCCACATACAGCACTTATGTGCTCTGAATATTGTGTGTTTCAATACCAGGTGATATCAGTGGAACCAGGTGGTTGACAGAAAATTAGATTCTTTAGCCAAACCAGATGCTGAGCTTCTGCCCAGAATCAATATACTATTACAAGTCCTGGAGACTAATAAACATATCATAACTATTCATTTATGGATAGGTTCATGGAAGTAACTTCGGAAAAGGAATCCAAGCTTGATCCAGCCTTTGTCACACCAGATGCAGTGTGTGTTTAGTCAGAGTCCTTAAAAGGAAAGTGTATTTTTAAAATATCCACTGTAATCTACAAGTTAAGTTTAAGATAAACTGAAAGAAGTGAAGGAAATGGGAACCTAATTGAAGCTGATATAAGACATTATGAACAACAAAAAAATTATGAACAGTGTAGAGAAAGTTCTGTGAGAGAATGTGTGGTGGTAGGCATGAGGGGAAACATGGAAATCCAGTCACCAGACAACATCACATGTGGACAAGAGGCCACAGAGAGCTGCCTTCGCCCAGCGAGTGTCTGACATCTGGAAGGCTATGTTTGGGACCCCTCAGGAGGTCTCAGATCACCTCAGTGTCAAATTTATTTTTGTCTTTCAGTGGTCTCCTAGTTTGTGACTGGCATTTTACAGATGAAGAAGCAAGCCCAGAATCTCAAAGGACTTATGATCTCACACGTAGGCAGGGACTGTACCTTGTCTTTCTCAACCCGTGCTTTGTTCTGAAGCAGAGTGACAGTGACAAATTGGAAGCAGTAAAGAGGACACTCTATAATATACATACTTCCTGAAGCCAGCACACCCCAGCCTGACAACAGAGAGGTGAGGAAGGCAGATATATTTAAAACCAACCAACAAACACAGTCACAAATAGTCGAAAGATGATATTTGAATCCAGTTAATAGAAGTAAAAGCCTGACAAAACTCACTTCATGGTGTTGCTGTGTAAGTTGGTACATGTAATACAGTCCGTAAGTGACTCTCATTCATTCTACATAATGTTATTGACTTAGCTACTTTGTGCCAGTAAGGACCCATCAGAATAAAGTTAAATTTGTTTACGGCACTCCTAATTTAACAACACCCCAGAGACAGAAGTGAGGTGGCCCACAGCTGTAATCTCAGGACTAGTGAGGCTGACGCAGAAGGATCACCACGAGTTCCAGGGCAGTCTCAGCTACCTTGGGAGTTCAAGGCTGGACTGGCCTACATGGAAAGAGCCTGTCTGAAAAAGCAGAACAATACAAACTCCAGACAGCTCTCCTTGAAGTCTTCAGTAGTACTTCCTTGGATTATTATAAAAATGAAAGTGTTCACTTGAACTGGAAGTTAAGATTATGCTCCCAATTATCTGGGTCACTAATTCTAAAACTTTAATGTGCATACACATGACCTGAGGGTCTTGCTTAGATGCAGCTTGTGATTTTGCAGGTCTGCCATTTGCTCTGAGATTCTGCATATCTTATAAGCTCCTAGGTGCAGTTGGTGCTACTGCTGTAGG